AAAAGCCCAGGTCCAGATGGCCTCAGTGCAGAATTCTACCAGAAATTCAAAGAACAGCTTATACCAATTCTTTTCAAAGTATTCCACACAATAAAAGCAGAAGGGTCTTTGCCAAACTCTTTCTACGAAGCTTCAATAACCTTGATCCCCAAGACACACAAAGACACAACTAAGAAAGAGAACTGCAGACCAATATCTCTCATGAACATTGATGCAAAAATACTCAATAAAATACTAGCAAATCAGATCCAAGAACACATCAAAACAATCATTCACCACGATCAAGTAGGTTTCACCCAGGGATGCAGGGATGGTTCAACATATGAAAAATACATCAATGTAATCCACCATATAAACAAGCTGAAAATAAAAAATCACATGATCATCTCACTAGATACTGAAAAAGCCTTTGACAAAATCCAACACCCCTTCATGTAAAGGACTTGGAGAGATCTGGGATAACAGGAACTTACCTCAACATAATAAAAGCTGCATACAGCAAACCAAAAGCCAACATCAAACTAAATGGACAGAAACTCAACGCAATTCCTCTAAAATCAGGAACAAGACTCTACCCATACCTTTTCAATATTGTACTTCAAGTTCTAGCCAGAGCCATACGACAACAAAAGGAGATCAAGGGGATACAAATTGGAAAGGAAGAGATCAATTTTTCACTATTTGCAGATGATATGATAGTTTACAAAAATGGCTAGAAGAACTCTACCAGGGAACTCTTACAGCTGATTAGCACCTTCAGCAAAATGGAAGGCTACAAGATCAACTCAAGAAAATCAATAGCCCTACTATATACAGATGATAAAAGGGCTGAAAAAGAAATCAAGGAAACATCACCCTTTACAAATGCCACAAACAACATAAAATACCTTGGGGTAATACTAACCAAACAAGTGAAAGACCTGTATTGCAAGAACTTTGAATCTTTAAAGAAAGAAATTAAGAAGCCCTCAGAAAATGGAAAGATCTCCCATGCTCTTGGGTAGGTAGGATCAATGTAGTAAAAATGGCAATCCTGCCAAAAGAAATTTACAGATTCAACGCAATCCCAATTAAAATACCAGCACAATTCTTCACAGGCCTTGAAGAACAATAATCAGTTTTGTATGGAAAAACAAAAGACCCAGCATAGCCAAAACAACCCTGTTCAACAAGACAACATCCGGAGGCATCACCATCCCTGACTTCAAGCTCTATTATAGAGCTATAGTCCTGAAAACAGCTTGGAATTGGCACAAAAATAGACAGGTAGACCAATGGAATTGAATTGAAAACACTGATATTGACCCACACATGTATAAACATCTCATCTTTGACAAAGAAGCTAAAAATATACAATGGAATAAAGAAAGCATCTTCAACAAATGGTGCTGGCATAACTGGAGGCTGGCATGTAGAAGAATGCGGATCAATCCATGTTTATCGCCATGCACAAAACTTAAGTCCAAATGGATCAAAGACCTCAACATAAATCCAGCCACACTGAACTTCTTAGAAGAGAAAGTGGGTGGTACCCTTGAACGAATTGGTACAGGAGACAGCTTCCTGAACATAACACCACTAGCACAGACAGTGAGATCAACAATTAATAAATGGGAACTTCTGAAACTGAGAAGCTTCTTAAGGCAAAGGACACAGTCAGCAAGACAAAAAGGCAGCCCACAGAATGGGAAAAAATATTCGCTAATCCCACATCTGACGGAGGGCTGATCTCCAAACTTTACAAAGAACTCAAGAAGCAAGTCTCCAAAGCACCAAAGGATCCAATTAAAAAGTGGGCTGCAGAACTAAATAGAGAATTTTCAACAGAGGAGTCTAAAATGGCTGAGATGCACTTGAGAAAGTGCTCAACATCCTTAGCCATCCGGGAAATGCAAATCAAAACAACTCTCAGATACCATCTCACCCCTGTCAGAATGGCTAAAATCAAAAACACCAATGACAATTTATGCTGGAGAGGATGTGGTGAAAGGGGGACACTCCTCCATTGCTGGTGGGAGTGCCAACTGGTTCAGCCACTTTGGAAAGCAGTATGGAGATTCCTCAGAAAAATGGGAATAAACCTACCACAAGACCCAGCAACTGCACTCTTAGGCATATATCCAAAAGATGCCCATTCATATAACAAAGATGTCTGTTCCACTATGTTCATAGCAGCATTATTTGTAATAGCCAGAACTTGGAAGCAACCTAGACGCCCCTCAACAGAAGAGTGGATAGAGAAAATGTGGTACATTTATACAATGGAGTACTATTCAGCAGAAAAAAAATGGAATCTTGAAATTTGCAGGCAAATGGATGGCACAAGAAGAAACCATCCTGAGTGAGGTAACCCAGTCACAAAAAGAGAAACATGGCATGTACTCTCTCATATATGGATTTTAGGCATAGATCTGGGGAGTGCCAGCCTACAATCCCATGGCCAGAGAGTCTGAGAAACAGAACCTTCATTCAGTGGCTGACTAAAGTAGAGGCAGACTCCCACAGCTAAGCACTGAGCTGAACTCAAGAAATTTAGTGACAGAGAAGGAGGCATTAAGACTGGGCTGGTTTAGCTCTTGAATCCCAGACTGATGCCTGATCAAGACCCCCTGAATGTGGGTGTCAGTGAGGAGGCTAGGTAATCTATTGAGCCTTGGGTACTAGATCAGTATTTATCCTGGGTATACAAATCGATTTAAACTCCCATCCCAAAGTAAGAGATACACTCTCACCCTGGACTCTTGGGGGAGAGTCTAGGCCCTGCCATGGATGAGACAGACTATGGAGACCCCCATGAATGGCCTCACCTTCCCTAGGGAAATGAGGGGATATTGGGGGGTTTGTGGGAGGCTGTGGGAGGAGGGGAGGGAAAAGGAGAGTGACCTGGAATTGACATGTGAAGCAATTTAAAAATTATATATATATATGAAGGCAACAGGAAGTGAACTGAGACAGTGAGTTTGATCTTGAACACAGGAAAGTACAAAGACTGCCCCCATAGAGACAAAATTATAACAAAGCCATACTCACTCCAACAAAGTCACACCTCCTAATAGTGCCACTGCTTATGAGATTATAGGGGCAAATTACATTCAAACTATTATACATGGTCATGGTGTCTCTTCAAAGAAATAAAACCCTAGCTCAGACAGTACTTGCTGTCAGAAGTGGTGTATTGCTGTGTTGGGATGGAAACACTTTTGTTTTGAGGATTGTGGACTTTGGACTAGAAAAGCAGTTGAACACTTTAAGTGGGGCTTAATGGCCTCACCAGTAAGAGTATGGAAGATAGTGGTGCTGAGAGTGCTTTGAACTGTGAGGGCCTGACTCAGGAGGTTTCAGAGGAGAAGAATTTTAGTATGTGGACTAGAGATTGTTCTTGTGATATTTTACACTCTGGAAGCACAGGCAGGTGGATCTCTGAGTTCATGCAACATGGTCTACAGACTGAATTCCAGGACTGGTAAGCTTAGACAGTGAAGGCAACGATAAAAACAAGAATTCTGTTGAAAATGTATTTGAAGGAGGGGCCATGTTCCATCTTCAGGAAGCAATAGAACTTTTAGTTTATCACACATGGTTCTGGCTTTAGAGAGGTGGTTCTAAACCTTCCTAATAATGCAACCATTTAATATAGTTCCTTATGATGTGATGACCCACACCCATAATATTATTTTCATTTCTGCTTCATATTTGTAATTTAGCTATTGTTATGGTGTGTAATGTAAATATCCTATGGTCTAAGGATACCCCTTGTGAATGGAGTTTTCAATTCCACCCACAAAGGGGTCCAGACCCACAGGAAGAGAAATACAGCTTAAGAGCCAATGATACCAGAAAAGGGTTATAGAATCTCACTCCACAACTATAGAAAGGTTATGAGGCCAGGCAACTAGCAGGGGTGTTTGTTTGAGGACGTTCAAAGAGGCCAATGAATGAAGTTGAATAAATAAATGAATAAATAAATAAATATTTTATTAATTCTTTGACAATATCACACATTAAATTCTGATCTTATTTACCCCACACTCCTCTCCCTAACTCCTTCCAGAACTAACCTTAGCTCCCTAACCCTTGCTTTATGTCCTCTTCCTTAAAAAAGAAAAGAACCCATGGACTCTCCTTGAAGATTTTCAGATTAATGTCTGAGCCTTACAACATGTCGAGTCTACACAGAATGCACGGTAGACCCATGACCAGGTTGGCCAGAAGTCCCCTAGTTTGGTGTCAGTCATGATTTATGTCCAGCATCCCTTCATGAGAAACACTGGAAACCTGGTGGTTGAGAGACTGAAGTTCTAGCACAGGGGAAGCACAGAGTTGACAAAGAGTCTCATGTCAGTCAGAGCTAACAGAGCCTGACTGCCACTGCATGACCTGCACACAGGTGGGGACAAAGGGCTTGGCACATTTCTGGACAGCTTGATCATTCCTACTCACAGCTTTTTCAGTGAAAGGTCAGCTGATTTGGGACAAGGAAAAGCAGGTGCTTCCAGGAGCCTCTGTACCTCACAAGCTGGGCTCTACCTGCAACACTATTGTGAATCACCCATGCTGTATGTATTTATTCATTATTCATCTATATATTTTTGTGCTGTTTATTCTAAAACCCAGGGACAAGGGAATGCCAGGCAAACACTAGCTAATAATCCACAACCAAACTCAAGCTAAAAGATTAATGATGCAGACAGGTAGAAAATAAGATAAGCTTACTGTTGGAACCAAATAGAAGGGGCAGAAGATGGCACCCCACAGGCTGAGTGCCAGCAGTAAACCATAGTGCCTATGTAGAATCTGAGATGATGAGGCAGAGTGTGTGTTCAGACAATTGAGCTGAGGAAGCAGCATTGTCAACTGCATTCCTCCTCTCAAGGGTGATGGTACCTGTGGGAAGATGGAGGAATGACAGGAGAGAAATGTAATGGATCCTCACAGAAATATCCTTGAGACAACTCTAGCTGCTTTCCAAAAGTTAAGTGTTTTCAAGGATCTTTGCACATAGGTTGGCAAAGACCAAGGATGGGCCAGGCTGGGAGAGAACTGAGGTCTGGATGACCAGGGATTCTCAGCATGAGGTGGGTGAGGCATCTGTGACCTCACAATTGAACCCTGCCCTAGTAATGCCGGGGTCTTACCTGAGGACAAGCCAGAGTCCAGAAGGAGGGCTTGATTCACAGAAAGTGCATGTGACTGGGTAAGTTTGGGCTGTTTCCTGGGATGGACACTACCTGAAATTAATCATGTGAGTGACTCACTTGGTTTGAGGCACTTCTTTATTGAGATCTTAAATGGGGACACTAAAACATAGCGAGGTATTTGAAATGTCCGAGCCTGAGGAGAGCTAGAAACAGTAGGAGTCAGAAGTCTCACAGCAGTGGGACAGGAACCTCAAGACCACATGAAGAGAAACCCCTCCACTTACAGAGAGAGAGAACTTGGGATAAAGCCACACAAGTGGATCTGGACCAGGACTCCAGCCTCTGACCTAGGTGATAAGGACGGAGGGTTCCTGTTTGTATGCCCACATTAGACAATCACATGCAGGTTGTTCAGGGAGTGTGGGCAAAGCATCCCTGGCACTGATATCTGTTCTTACCTGATAATTCTGGTCCCTGGTGGTAACAATGTTTTCATTTATACTAAGATAGACATAGACAGCTTGCATAATTTAACCTCACTATGCTATACTGGAAGGCAGGGATGATAAAGGATATGAGGCACAATGTGGTTATTTAACAGGACCTGTGCTATAGCTGTAGAAAAAGCTGCAGTAAGTATCTGTAAGATGTGTGACAAAGAACTAGTATAACAAGGACGCAGGAAGACAACACCCACAACTCACTGGGGAAAGAGGCCATGGGATGTCTACACCCAGCCTGTATCACATGAGAAGACTTCAGGCTCCAGGCTGGTGCTAGTGGGCCCAAGCCAGGGACAACCATCAGCTAAGGCAGCCCACAGTGTCAGGACAGGTAGGGAGTGTGTCAAATTCATTACTGCAGGGGTCTGAAGGGACTTTGCTTCTACACAGCACAATCATTATTTTTTATAACTATGCATTGGGCCTAGCATGACTGAAGTCAGGGACACAATAAGAAAGAATACTACAGCCATCTCCCTAACCTATCCATATTTACATTTAAATTATATGAAAAATTTAATGAAGAGAGGCCTCTGAAGAAAGTGTTAACTCAGTGCATAGTCTATCACTTCAGGATTGAGCCTACAGAATCTTAAAGATAATTACTGGCCCCACCCACCCGTTTGTGACATCCCCACAGGGAGCACATGCTTCACAGGTAGGAGTGCTTCTCATGGGCTTCTCTAGACATGAACCTTCCTGGAAATCATCTTTATATTCAGCTCATAGGCCCTTCCCAGAATGGCCACAGACACTGATGCCATACTCGATCCATCTTATTTTCAAACTTAAGCTTTTACTTATGAGACCTGAGTTAATATATTTGTGAGTGAATCTGTGTGTATGTGTGAGGGGATTTTCTCAATTTTCTTCAACTAACCACAACCTGTATTTGTGAGAAAAGGTGACAGTTGCTGAGGCAGAGCCAGCACCTGACTTGGAACTCCAGTTTCCAAACGACAGGATGAAATTCTGCTGTTATGCTGGTCTCCAAAGTGAAAGTCTCAGAAGATATTGACTGTTTCATGGCAGGACCAGGTAAGGGAATATCATGACATCCTGATTTCTGGGCAATCCTCCTGCAAGCTATGTTTAATAGTGGTGATGGGAGAGGTTGCACCCCAACATTTTCCATCAGCTGGATACCCAAAATACTGCAGATGGCACACTTAAAATCTCTTGACAAGAGAAACTTGTTGATAAACTGAGCAGCAGAAATGAGACACCAAGAGATGAATTGTGCACATTAGAGCAGAGTATGATCCTTCCCTCCTGAACATGCTGGTCGCAGGGGTGAAGTTCCCTGGAGGCAGAGGACAGGATGTGAGCTTGTTCCCAAGAAATGATCTTAAGAGAAGCCTTCAGGGACTTCCCCTAAATGCCAGCCCAAAAGATATCTGTGCGTATTGACAGCCTTTGAGTTTCACAGACAGAGTGAGGCCTGGCCTCTGTGACATCACAGGAGGGTCACTGTCATGGTTACTGGTGTGACCCAGTTCAGAGGGCAGCAGAGTCCAGTATAGTGGACCAGGATTTAGCTCAGGAGAAGGTGGGCAGTGATCTGTTTCAGGTAAGTGATTGCAGAAAATTCTGTAGGTGAAGAAGTGATCTCAAACCAGTGTACTCGGCAGGGGGCTCTCTGGAAAGGGGTGACAAAGGCAGATTCGGTGTCCTAGGGGTTTTTTATTTCCACAGCAAATATGACCATGAGAAGGGTTACACAAACAAGGATCAAAGAAATACCCTCACTGAACATGGCCATGTAGGACATTCAGAGAGAGGATGCCATCCCCACACAGCAAAGAGATCTTTATATGATCTGTAGAGACGTCTATGCCTTAACAAGGTATCCTCTAGATGATGGGAGGACTAACCTCTGCTGTTTCCTCTTACTGTGATATTCCATCAAGGGTTCAGACCACAGAAAGGAAATATACCATGGTTACTTGGTGGGACTCTCCTAATTGTATCTCACAACCTAGAAACAACAGATATTCCACATGAGCTCACAGATACCCCTCCACCATAGACAGCCAGCTGTGCAACAGGAAGGACTTACCCAAACAGCTTTCTCTCCTACCTATATCATCTTTGTATAATGTATAATTATTTCATGTGAGCTGTGGGCTACTTCTGTCTATTTCACTGCAAATTTCCCCGAGGACAGGTCAGTGATGTTGTGAGAACATGTAAGATGCTATTATCTTCCACTATCAAAGTCCACCTGGCTTTTCTTTTAATTTTTCAGAAATGCTGAAAATAGATCAAGACTTAGTCAAAGATTTGGGCAAAAATCGGCTGGAATGGATGGACTACCTCCACCCTTATGATAAACAGGTACTCTGACCCTGAAAAAGGCTGGACGCCAAATCAGAAGATATGGGGAACCAAGGAATTCCCTTACCCTAAAGAAGCCTGGGCCCAATAGGGAGAAAACATGGGCCTGGGCCATTCAAATGAAGGAAGCCAGGGCTAAACCAAGAAAATGAGAGTGACCAGGCCAATCCTGACCCTGAAAAAGCCCAGGCCCAAAGCAAGAAGAGATGTGGGCCTGGGCTAACCCCTGACCTTTTAGAAGCCTGAGCACAATTATACAGAGAATTAGGCCTGGGCCAATCAAAAGAAAAAGGCCTGGGCCAGACCAAGAAATGAGTGTGCCCAGGCCAATCCTGACCCTGGAAAAGCCCGGGCCCAAAGCAAGAAGAGATGTGGGCCTGGGCTAACCCCTGACCCTTAAGAAGCTTGAGCACAATTATCCAGAGAATTAGGCCTGGGCCAATCAAAAGAAAAAGGCCTGGGCCAGACCAAGAAAATGAGTGTGCCCAGGCCAATCCTGACCCTGAAAAAGCCCGGGCCCAAAGCAAGAAGAGATGTGGGCCTGGGCTAACCCCTGACCCTTAAGAAGCTTGAGCACAATTATCCAGAGAATTAGGCCTGGGCCAATCAAAAGAAAAAGGCCTGGGCCAGACCTAGAAAATGAGTGTGCCCAGCCCAATCCTGACCCTGGAAAAGCCCGGGCCCAAAGCAAGAAGAGATGTGGGCCTGGGCTAACCCCTGACCCTTAAGAAGCTTGAGCACAATTATCCAGAGAATTAGGCCTGGGCCAATCAAAAGAAAAAGGCCTGGGCCAGACCAAGAAAATGAGTGTGCCCAGGCCAATCCTGACCCTGAAAAAGCCCGGGCCCAAAGCAAGAAGAGATGTGGGCCTGGGCTAACCCCTGGCCCTTAAGAAGCCTGAGCACAATTATACAGAGAATTAGGCCTGGGCCAATCAAAAGAAAAAGGCCTGGGCCAGACCAAGAAAATGAGTGTGCCCAGGCCAATCCTGACCCTGGAAAAGCCCGGGCCCAAAGCAAGAAGAGATGTGGGCCTGGGCTAACCCCTGACCCTTAAGAAGCTTGAGCACAATTATCCAGAGAATTAGGCCTGGGCCAATCAAAAGAAAAAGGCCTGGGCCAGACCAAGAAAATGAGTGTGCCCAGGCCAATCCTGACCCTGGAAAAGCCCGGGCCCAAAGCAAGAAGAGATGTGGGCCTGGGCTAACCCCTGACCCTTAAGAAGCTTGAGCACAATTATCCAGAGAATTAGGCCTGGGCCAATCAAAAGAAAAAGGCCTGGGCCAGACCAAGAAAATGAGTGTGCCCAGGCCAATCCTGACCCTGGAAAAGCCCGGGCCCAAAGCAAGAAGAGATGTGGGCCTGGGCTAACCCCTGACCCTTAAGAAGCCTGAGCACAATTATCCAGAGAATTAGGCCTGGGCCAATCAAAAGAAAAAGGCCTGGGCCAGACCAAGAAAATGAGTGTGCCCAGGCCAATCCTGACCCTGGAAAAGCCCGGGCCCAAAGCAAGAAGAGATGTGGGCCTGGGCTAACCCCTGACCCTTAAGAAGCTTGAGCACAATTATACAGAGAATTAGGCCTGGGCCAATCAAAAGAAAAAGGCCTGGGCCAGACCAAGAAAATGAGTGTGCCCAGGCCAATCCTGACCCTGGAAAAGCCCGGGCCCAAAGCAAGAAGAGATGTGGGCCTGGGCTAACCCCTGACCCTTAAGAAGCTTGAGCACAATTATCCAGAGAATTAGGCCTGGGCCAATCAAAAGAAAAAGGCCTGGGCCAGACCAAGAAAATGAGTATGCCCAGGCCAATCCTGACCCTGGAAAAGCCCGGGCCCAAAGCAAGAAAAGATGTGGGCCTGGGCTAACCCCTGACCCTTAAGAAGCTTGAGCACAATTATCCAGAGAATTAGGCCTGGGCCAATCAAAAGAAAAAGGCCTGGGCCAGACCAAGAAAATGAGTGTGCCCAGGCCAATCCTGACCCTGGAAAAGCCCGGGCCCAAAGCAAGAAGAGATGTGGGCCTGGGCTAACCCCTGACCCTTAAGAAGCCTGAGCACAATTATCCAGAGAATTAGGCCTGGGCCAATCAAAAGAAAAAGGCCTGGGCCAGACCAAGAAAATGAGTGTGCCCAGGCCAATCCTGACCCTAACAGTGAGGAAATTTTGGCACAAAAACTAATGTAATATCAGCACAGATTAATCCCCTCCCAAAGAGGCCTGAACCAACTGCCAATCTAAAGTTAAACAACTCTGTGGTTGCAGTTTGTACCATGAGGTTCTCTGATCAAGGCCTTAATTTCAGTTCTTATTTTACACCTAACCAAGACATCAGTGCACACAAATGCCAGCTTGTCTTGGATAGCCTAGGACTAACCCTCTATGCTTCCTATAATGATTGATATAAGTGACATTCTGAGTACCAGATGTGTGGCTCTCACACACACACTTCATTCAATCCAACATCTTCAACACACTAAAAAGGATGACAACATTGCCATAAAGTGCCAAGAGCTCACCTAAATAATCCAGTAACATGGATGCACCTTATCAAAAAGGGTGTTACTCGGCACCCTACACCTTATCTTGACTGACTTTTTTTTTAAGAAAATTTCTCATACTCTAGCCATAGACTGCTCACCAAGAATCTTGGGCAAACCCAGAACTTGATCTGATTAACTGAAATCTGGATGCATTATCCCCTCCAAGAAGGGGAACTTGATAATGACATGATTATTGACACAGGTTCAAGGCCATAAGCAGACCTGAAAGGAAACCCAGCACCTCCTTGAACCCTAAGTATACTGGACTAATATTACATGGTGTGTGGACCACACCCTCTAGTCAAACCAGGAAAAGATCCCACCACAAAGGAGGGAGTCTTTAAAGGGACAATATATCACATTAATGACCAAAAGAAATGGACATATCTATGAAGCCAACCTGGTCTGAGGTCAGGCATTATCTTACTTCAATTATTTTTGGACAAATCATAGCCTCATTTGTGACCCAGATCAAACCTCACCTTAATGACCAAAGGAAATGGACAAACCCATGATGAAAACCTTGTCTGAGGCCAGGCATTTTCTCACGTCAATTTATTTTGTTGGACAAATCATAGCCTCATTTGTGACCCAATCCATGCTATTTTACTTAGAAATTTGGACTCAACCACAACCATTCTTGCACTGATGATTGACATCACATCATAGACCATAGACTGTCATCAATGCTAATCTCGAATCTTCTTTGTGGTACCACTGTAGTTTGAGGGACATACCTGCTATTCTTCCAACACATCCAACAAACATTCTCACAGCAGGTGGATTAAGACCTCATTGCTCTCTAGTAATCTGAGTGTCACATAAACATCAAATAACAATAGCACAGCTCGGGATCAAGGGTGTGTGGGCCGCACCCAGCAAATCCTCTGTGCCCAGGTCTTCCTGTATGACGACTTTCAGAGAGCAAGGATAAAAAGCTGACTTGAAGTCTGACCTAGGCCACACCTACTGCTCCAAGAAGGTTGAACACACATTAACACCATGAGTGTGTTGTCTGAAAAATGGCATACCCTGAGTACCTTCTACTACCTGGGTCTAGTTTAAATATAAGGGTATGTGGGCCGTACCCTCTCTCCATAGGACCCAGTGATACACTCACAGCAAGGGAGCAAGGACTATGCGATGATTTTTAATGGAACAAGGAACCACTCTCCTTAATATCAAGAAGAATTAGATAGCACAGGGTCTTATAGTGATTCACGTGAAACCCACTCCCACCATTCCATCCATCAAAAATCTTGGATTCCTAAACAAGGTTTCTGAAGCTGATGACTGAAGGACAATCAAAATCAGTGTGGTCTGGGGGCTAACTTAACACCAAGAGGCCTGAGTCAAGTTTAACTTTGACAGTTGTAGGCCTCATTCTCTCTTCATCACACCCAGGAGATTTCTTACATTGGAGGATCAGGAGCACAAGCCATGGCCATCTGGACATCTGGGCCACACGAGATACACAGTCTGGGCAGACACTGGCATGATGGGTGTGTGGGCCGCACCCTGGAGTCATTGTGTGCCCAACTGCTACCTGGTCTTCAAGAGATCCAGGACAAGATGATCTCATGTGTGCTAACACCAGCACCTCAGAGGAAACTGGAACCACCACAAGGACCAGCACAGACTTCAAGACCTAGCCACTCTGTTGACCTTGACCCTCAACTTGGCCACTCCATTGACTTTGACCTTCAATTTGATATGATTAAAAACATCAAGTAACTTAACAATGTGATGACCCTGGAGTACAGACACAATTTTAATGTGGATGTCTAGTAGAAAACACTGAAATCCACACTCTGGTGGAAACTAGACATAGTTTCTTATGTTTCTTTAGTGTCACCAGAGCCTACCTAGAAGAAGCAAGACTTATTCCCTGATTTCTATAGATCTCTGCCTTTATCTTATGTACCTAACACAGTGTCATCTTACAATATTCTTTCTCAAGTACCTCCTCCCTACCATTATGTATATAGTCTTCAATAAATATAAGGTTTAATTGTGTCCTCGCTTTTCAATTGCTGTGAAGAGACACCATGACCATGGCAATTCTTATAAATGAAAACATTTAATTGGGGTGACTTGCTTACAGATTCAGAGGTTCAGTCCATTGCCATCATGGCAGGGAACATGGCAGCATGCAGGCAGACATGGTGCTGGGGGTGTTGCTGTGAGTTCTATATCTTTCAGGTAACCGGAGTCCACTGACAACTGGGTGGGATCCTGAGCATAGGAAACCTTAAAGTCCACCTCCACAGTGACACACTTCTTCCAACAAGGCCATACCCACTCCAGCAAAGCCATTCCTCCTAATACCACTCGCTATGAAATTTGGGGACTAATAGCATTTAAACTACCACAATCTTCCTCCATGGCTTATCCATAAATCCATATTTTGACTGTTTCCCTCTATTTTTGCCTGATAGTTTTCAATCTTTGAATTGAACTTGAGAACAGGCTGTGATGTAGATACCATATCTCTTTCTTCCCTGTTGTCTCCAAGTGTATGGCATGTATTCATATGCTCAGACCTCAAGATGATCAGCCCACCTCTGACCACGGTTTGTATATTTACCTTTAGTTGGAATCTCCCAAGGAAACTAAACCAAGGGTCGTAGTAGCCAGAACCCTCACCCAGCCATAAAATCACAGAGAAAAAAAATTCTATATTGGA